TGTTAATGGCAATTGTTTATCAGGGAAAAGTGCCACCTTCCTCATGCGACTACCAAAGATGTGCGCAAGAATAAAATCAACACTCACACTTAATCTTATATTCACCTTCCAAGACGTTAGTCATTGCCTTTGCAAAAAGGTTCCAAAATCATTCTTAAAAAGGTTTATTTACTGATAGTTGGATATGTGGAGGGAGCTGCACCTACTAATTTACTTACTGAAGGCACTTACGGGCGGTAAAATCCCATCCACCGATTTCGGTGGAAAGTAAATTTGTAATTTCAGCTAGACGACATGGAATTAAAGAAAATAGAAGCAGATTTCTTTCCATAGAAACTAAGGGCCTCTTCCACTCAGGTCTTGTGGTCCCTTTTCCACCACCGAGATACGTATTTGAACAAACCATGCAGACAGTCAATCTAAGAGATGCAATCTCTCAACAAGGCACCAGTAGACATGGCAAATGGTCACTTTTCTTGTCCTGCTTCTATTTGGAAATAGTTAAATAAGATAAGGAAGAGAACAGTCGTTTTCTCAATCTCGCATTGGCTACACTTCTTGTCACCTTGTCAAAGAACAGGAATTAAATTGCTGCTGGATTTCAATTTTGGATGTGGGGTATTTCTCGCAATATTAGGAATCTCTATTTCTCCGCTGGATAGCATTATCACGCCTTCTCTCCCTCCTCTGCTTTTAATGACTTACATACTGCAGAAATATAGCTACTCAAATTCTAAACTTCATGTTCTGCGATATCTCACTTCATATATCTGTAGCTCTCTTTGATTCATGTACCTTGAGGAGGAGATGATTTTGGATTTCAACACTGAAGTGTGTCGTAGTCCTGCTTATCTACTTCAGCCAAGATGTAAAATTTCAGTTTGACTGAATTTCTGCAAAAAGACATTTCTTTCTTTCCGATACTTCGGTCGCAAGAAATCGGAAATTTGCTTACAATTCGCACCTGAATTCGCAATGAATTGCTCTCCCTTTGGATTACCATATTTAATCCTCTCTCCTAATTCTTCATGGTCGTGAATGCTATCGGCTGGGGTTAAGAGATGTTTGCCTATCCCACGCTAGTTCAGGTAATGCCTCCCTTTGCCATCAGCATATAGACGTTACAGCAGAAAGGAGGAAAATTTTGTCCTCATGAGTGTGTGCTTTAGATATGCACCAATCACGGTTAAATTTGCTCAGAAGCTTCACAAAAGAAATAAATTTTGCATATAAAGCCTCAAAGTAGTGGTGGGTTACTTGCAATTACAAGTTCTTGTTTCTCTTTAATCTCTACTGCTGTCAAGATGACTATACATGAGTAAAAGTAGACGTTACTGCCTCTTGGTGGCCTGCTTTATACTTTCAACTTAAAAAAATGAGTTAATTTGTAGGTATTTTGGGCGACGTTAATTAGGCCTCATTGCAATGGGAACAAGAATAGGAGAGGACGAGATTGTGCAGTGAGATGACCAGAATACGTCTTAAAAAAGCAAATTTTATATTTGAAAAATGTATAGTATCTTTCAAAATAAAATTCCACAATCGGCACTCCAGTCCATTTTACACGAATCTGCGTGTTGCGATGATGATGGTGCGAATTGGACAAAGTGAATATAGGTAGTGAAGCAAGTTGTTCACAGGGGGGATCTATTTGAATGGATATTATGCTTGGGTTTAGAAATATTGGACCTGAGCAACTCAATCCTGATTCACGCAAAAATGCGAGATTGTAAATATGCATTCATTATGCTACGCCATGCACCAGCTGTACTCACTGCGCCCGGTTCTACCCATCACTTTTTGTTCAACGCAAAGTAACGATGTTTTGTTCCCCTTGTCCTTTGTATCTACCGAGTTTATTTAACGTCGCTTCACCTCGCACTTGTGCCAACATGTACAAGGTGAATGAAAGGAGGGCAGCTGAGGGGTGAGCAGAGGGTCGAACAG